TTCAAGGGACTTGCAGGGCTGAATCTACCATCTGTTCCCGGACAGGACTTGTCCTGCAGAGTTACCAAGGAGACAGATGGGCCTGTCAACTAGGAGTGCAGCTGGTGCAGAAAGTAAACACAAGGACAGGATTAGCTTAGCTAGCAGAATTAGCAAACCGAGTGTAAACCTCAGGGTTCATGTCACTGTGTCGTGTGAGAAGGAGCAGAGTGCCCTTTAAAAATGGGCAAAGTAGTTATTTTGGTGCTACTAAGCTTACTCATGTGGACAAACAGAAATCTGTCTTCCTCATCCAAACATTTTAAGAAGGGTCAACCTATGCGAAATGATTTTGACTTCTGATGGATGACAACTGCTACTACCATAGTTAACAATGTTTGGAGTTGCAATTGGCTCCCTACTCAATACTGCATGTCTACATTTTGACTGTTTACTCAGCAATTCCAAATATCTAGTTGCTGTGCTACCTTAGAGAAGGAAGACTAGATAAGAAGCCGTAGTAAATTTTCTACGAGATAAATACAACAATAATTTGTTAAAAGAGGGTTTTAACAGTCTACTCTTGCTTGTTTTGATGTCGAGTTGGCCACGCCCACCCAGCCACATGACTGCCTAGCCACGCCCACTCAGCCCATCATTGGGCAGATCGTATTAGTGGCCTGCGGAATTTAAAATTATGAATTTAGTGGTCCCTGAGGTCCGAAAGGTTGGTGACCCCTGTGTTAGATAACATACAAGTATAAGGTTAGAAATAAAAACTAAACAAATGAGAGAAAAAATAAACATGAAAAGGGAATTCATGAGGCACATTCATGAGGAATTCATGAGGCACATTAATGAGGCACATTCACGGGCTGGGTGTCATCAATCATGTTCTCCAATGAAGGATTTTCGTGGGGCAGAATATCTGGTAGCCTAGCTACAATCTTTGTAAGATAAGTGCAGTGTGATTATCGGGGCGTGGCACAAAGATAACAAAGTCACCAAAGTAGATAAATTCCCTTTAATGCCTCCAACTTGGCCCACAATGTTCAATTATCCTCGGTGGGAGATCAAACTCTTCCAAAAACAGTCTACAAAGAGAAGAAATGCAGTCCGAACCCAAAATACAGATAAAGTAGAAATTTTAAAAAACCAACACAAACCACGCTGTAGTAATTAACACGACAGACCAGGATAACTTGCAGACTTCCAAAACATAACAAGGCACACAAAGTTGGGAGGACGCCAAAACCCAGATAAGTCTCGACAAAGATAATGCACTTTGCTTCCAGCAACTTTGCCATGCGCAGTTTGCCCTTTTAAACAGTCTTCCCAGCTGCAGCCCATGAAGGGGATCAGGGCCCTTTCCTCCCCCGTAAACCACATTGCTCCCTTATCCATTCCTCCTTGCATGCCCTAGGATGAACAGGGGGTGGGCGTGGGTCTTCTTCTGAATGCCCAGCCGGCCTGTGCCCTTCCCCAGTTTCCTCCACAGCCACAGGAGCCACACTCTCACTCCCTGCCAGCTGTTCCACCTCTCCCTCGGAACCAGATTCCAACTGGGGCATGACAGGTAGGATGTATTTCTGCTTTTAAACTGCTGTCCTGCTTCAGATTGTTCCCCCCCCCCTTGTTTATGGCAACTCAAAAACAGCCATAGGAATATTTTACGACTTGATACCTCCTTTGTGAAAGGAGAAAATTTCCCTTTCAATAATAGAGGTAGTCTTGACTTACAACCATTCATTTTATCAACAGTTCAAAGTTACAACGGCACTGAAAAAAAGTGAGTTATGCCCGTTTTCCACATTTACGACCATTGTAGTTTCCCCATGGTCACCTGATCAAAATTCAGATGCTTGCCATCTGGCTATCGTGTCCTGAGGTCAGGTGATCATTCTGGATGACCTTCTGAGCAGCCACGTCCATAAGGAAGCCAGATTCACTTAACAATGGTATTACTATATTAGAACGGCAGAGATTCACTTAACAACGGTGTGGCAAGAAAGGTCGTACGCTGGGACAAAATTCACTCAACAATTGTCTCGCCTAGCAAGGGTAATTTTGGGGTCAATTGTGGTCGTAATTCAAGGACTCCATTGAATTGCCCACAGATATTGCTATTAAATGAGCCACTTGCAAGCTCTTCCCCCACCAAGTACTTTTTCCTACAGCTTCTACTCTTTAAAAAAAAAAACAGATGGCACCTAAATTATCTCTCCCATCTGCTTAAGACCGCTGCCTTCCCATTTGCTGTTATGTTTTCCATGGGAGGAAAAGATAAAAAAGGACATTTTCAAGAAGAAGAGACCGCCAATTGCAGTTTTTACATTATATACACCTCTTCCCTAATTAATTCTTCAGGCTAATGCTGTAGAGCCACGTGAATGGAGTGGGGTGGGGTTTCTGCATCCGGACTCCCCACTCACATGTATTAAATGAACAGACCAGAAGATGAACGGAAGCAAAATGGCAAGTGACAATCAAGGAACAAACTGGGAGGCGATCACAAGAAAAAGAGAAGTAAACCTGCTTCTAAAAAAACGAATTTGTAGTTTGAGCGCCTGTGCGTAATATGATATTATACCTGAGTTACACTGACCATACTGACTCCTCATCTATGTTGTGGCCTGTAAGCCACTGGCTCCTCCAGCAGCCAAATCAGAGGAGGAGGAGGCGGAGGCGGCGTGGGGGGTCAGGATCAGCATCAAGGCAACCTGAGAGCTCCAAGGGGGAAGAGGGAATGGAGCTGGCACAGAGAGAGAGACAGAGGCGGAGCCTGGGTCATCCATCAGCCTTCAGTTGGAGAGTTAACAGCCCCCAGGTCTGGAGATGGCTGAGGAGGAAGAGGAGGAACAGCTGGGCCCAGTGCCTGATGCGTGGATGCACAGAAAGCAGAGGAGAGGAGAGCAGTGGAAATCTGTGACCCAGTCCTTGGGACGGAAGAGCCAGGAGGTGGCTGATGAGGAAGAAGAGGGACAGCTGGCTCCTGTGCCTGATATGCAGAAGGCAGAGGAGAGGACAGCAGTGGAAATCTACGGGCTGGTCCTTGGGACGGAAGAGCCAGGTTTGGAGGTGGCTGATGAGGAAGAGGAGGAACAGCTGAGTTCAGTGTCTGATGTGTGAATGTGCAGAAGGCAGAGGAGAGGAGAGTAGTGGAAATCTATGGGCCAGTCCTTGGGACGGAAGAGCCACCACTGCTAGCAAAGTGCCACCTTAGCTCTGGGGATAACAGGCGGTGGGCAGAGATGAATAGGTATGGCAGACAATTACCCTGCTGAACAGACTTGTTAGCCTGCAGTGAGAGAAACTTTTTGCCAGGGCTGCTGGCACTCCTAATAAAGGAATTTAGAGTTCACTTCAGAGAGTTTGTCATGATTGGGGAGCTGGGCCAGAAGTATCTATTTTTAGATTGCTAGCTCGATTTTAAATCTTCCTGTGGCTTTCATGGCTCAGGATCAGAGTATTTGGAGATAAGCTGGAAGATATTATAACTACAGGTAGTCCTCGACTTACAACAGTTCATGTCATGCCCCTGTTGGAGACTGACTCCGAGGGAGAGGACAAACAGCTGACAGGGAGTAGAAGTGTGGCTCCGGAGGTTGTGGAGGAGGCTGGGGAAGGGCAGAGGCCGGCTGGGCAGTCAGAGGAAGACCCAGGCCCATCCCCTCTCCATCCTAGGACATGCAGGGAGGAGAGAATAAGGGAGAGACGGGAATGGCATGGTCTATGTGGGAGGAAAGGGCCTTGATCCTCTTCATGGGCTGCAGCTGTGAGAACTGGTTAAAAGGACGGACATGCGTATGGACCAGTGCTGGAAACAAAGTGTGGAAATATTTCTGGTCTGTCATTCCTCTCTGAATTTGGCGTTCTTCCCAGTGTGTGTTCCGATCTCTGTGGACGTCTTCAAGCCCTTATCTTGCCTGGTTCCCTTAATTGCTTCAATGTGGCTTTGTTGTTTTTATTCTTTAGAATTTACAGGCATTTTTAGTTTAAATGGCATTTCCTCCTTTTCGTAACTGCTTGTGGGGGAGTTTTTTGTCTTCCGTCAAGGATATTTGGAGCTTGGAAGCAAAGTGAAGGAATAAAAGGGGCTTCACCTGTTTTTGTGACTGTGTTTATTTTGTATCCCACCCTGGGTCATCAGAGTTCATTTAGTGACAGTTCGGAGTGGAAAAAAATGACTTATGACCGTTTTTCACACTTACGACCATTGCTGCATCCCCTGAGGTGATGTGGTTTACATTCAGATGTTTGACAACTGGTCCACAGTTATGACCGTTGCAGTATCCTGGAGTCACGGAATCTGCTTTTGCAACCTTCTGACCAGCGAAGTCGACGGAGAAGCCAGATTCACTTCAACAAATGTGGCAAGGAATGTCGTTAAAATGGGGCAAAACTCACTGAATGAATTTCCCACCTAGCAACGTAAGTTTTGGGCTCAATTGTGGCTGTAAGTCGAGGACTATATTTCATGAATCAAAGTTGTGTTTTCCTGGGTAATTCTTGTTGATTTAGAGTGGCTCTTGTAATAAAGCTTTCAACTTACTTACTCAAAGATATTAAGCTACTAAAATAATCTGGGGAAAATAATTGCTTTTTCCTAAGCTGTTAGGAATGGCCAAATTGAAATGAAATAAGAATTGTTTTCAGGGGATGGGGGCTCTCTGAGATTGGTTGTTTTCTTGCAGACATTTCATCACCAAACTACGTAACATCATCACTGCCACTAAGGAGTGGGGCTCGCTCTCAGTTTTACATTCTACTTGCCTGTCTTGTTAGTGTTGGCTGAGCGATCTTGGAAGTTGGGTTGGTCTACTGTTAGCTTGTTTGGCAATTCCTTGATTGGGATATTGTTTTCTTCTTGATTGGTGGTTTGATGTTAATCTTGGGGTTAATCCGAATTGTTTTGCCTATAAAACCTGCTTGCTAATTTATAACCACTACTGTGCTTGGAAAAGAATATGCAATTAAGTAAAGCAAACCATGTCACAGAGTCACTGTTTAATTTTAGCTTCGCCAAGAATCCACATATAATTTATCCTCTTTCTGCTGAAAGAAACAGTGGATGAGAAAGCTAAAAACTGGGCATAGAATAAGGGCTTTGTTTTTCATTTCCCCCCTGCCTGCATTCAGAAGTTAAATATGGGGAAAACTAATAATGCTCACACATTATGAGAGATACACAGGCACCCTTTGATATGAGTGACGTCAAGTTGCCCACGCCCACCCAGTCACATGACCACCTTGCCACGCCCACCCAGTCACATGCCCACCCAGTCACATGACCAAGCCACGCCCACCCATGATATAATGACCAAGCCACGCCCACCAAGTCACATGACCATCTTGTCACACCCACCCAGTCACACAACACCTTGCCACGTCCACCCAGTCATGACACCCAGCCATGCCCACCGTCACATGACCACCTTTGCCACACCCACCCAGTCACACAAACACCTTGCCACGCCCACCGTCACATGGCTACCCAGTCACATGACCACCCAGTCACACGACCAAGCCATGCCCACCCAGCCAGCTACATGACCACCTTGCTACATCCACCCAGCCACATGACCAAGCCACGCCCACCCAGCCACATGACCAAGCCACACCCACCCAGTCACATGGCCACCTTGCCATGCCCACCCAGTCACATGGCCAGTCACATGGCCACCGAATTACACGTCCATCCAGTCACATGACTACCAAGCCACGCCCACAGAACCAGTAGTAAAAAAAATTGAATAACCACCACTGGATATACACTTTGACTTACGACTACAATTGAGCCGAAAATTTATGTCACCACGTGAAACATTGGTTACATGAGTTTTGCCCCATTTTACGACTTTTCTTGCCAGAGTGGTTAAGCGAATCATTTGCATTTGTTAAGTGAACAACGTTATTGTTAAGTGAATCTGGCTTCCTCGTTGGTTTTGCTTGCCGGAAGGTCGCAAAAATCTGATCACATGACATTGCCCCCCCCCAACTCCCCAGCACACTGCGACCATCATAAATATGAGTCACTGGCCCAACATCTGAATTTTGACTGCATCACCATGTGTTGGAGTTCCCCGGCAGCCGGTGCAGACGGCAGCGGAATTGGACAGTAAGGATGAAAGGGAACCAGTCAGGGAGTCTGGGGAGGACTTGGATCCGATGCAGGGATGGGGCCAGGACCATCTGGGAGTGGGGTGCTGCCTCCGGAGTCTTCGGAGTCTGGCAGCACCAAAGCAGAGGACCCAGCGGAGCCTGTTCCCAGTGCGCGCATGAGCAGAGCTGCCAGAAGGCGAGAGCAGTTGAGACAAAAGGGGAAACCCAAGAATAAGGCTAGGATGTGATTGTACCTCCCATAAGGGATAAAAGTCAACCCTCAATGATGAAACCTTTGCAGGAAGCAAAGTAGTTCAATAGATTCCAAGTCCTCCTTGAAGGTCTGTACTCTGGTTGGTTTTTTTCTAGGTTTTTGGGTTGGTTTATGTTAAGCCTTAATTGGACTTCTGTTTATTGGCAGCATTGAAAAGCATTGAAAAGCATATTCTTATCTGGAGGAACTGTGTATAATGAGTTGTGGCTAGGAATGCAAGTAATTCCCAGTGTCGGATTAAAATAGGTTTTACTTTTAAAATCAGTTTGTGTTTTATTAAGTTTGACAAAGCCTGGGTCAGAACACCATGCTGCAAAGGTCGTACGTGTAAAAAAATGGTCAATGTATTTTTCAGTGTAACTTTGAATGGACGCTAAATGAACCCTTGTAAGTCGAAGACTACCTGTAGAGTTTTTTGTTCCTTGGGAAAACTATTCATCAACCGCTCCTCAATAAGATTCTAAAATAAGGAAAAACAACAGATGACAAAAGAAATTTGTATCTTAGGTACAGCAAGCAGTAAAAAGGAATGGACTTTTTTTTAAAAGACAAAACTTCCAAACAAGACACAGATGGCCGAATCGAGGTGTTATATAAATGTAATACCAATTCATCAAGCCACACGGTATTTTTTGCATTGTTTTAACTGAATAGAATAGAACAAAACAGAACAAAACAGGAAAAGAAAAACAAAATAAAAAATAAGAATAGACTAGAATTAATGGAATGGACTGGAATAGAACAGAAAATATGGAATGGAATAAAATAGAAAATGTGGGGTGGGATAGGATGGGATAGAATAGAATAGAAAATATGGAATAGAATAGAATAGAACGGAACAGAAAGGAATAGAATAGAATAGAATAGAATAGAATAGAATAGAATAGAATAGA